CACATTGTCCGTGTCCCCGAAGTGAATAACAAGAGTTTGTGCAAGACTGCAAACATCCGTTGCGAACTCCAGATCCTCCTATATCATGGCAAGAGGAGGACAATAAGAGTATGCCCTTGTTAACAGAATAGATAGATCATCGTTCAATATAGGCAGTTCAGGGATATACTAGCTACCATACCGATGATTTCCTGCATGAAACGAGCAACGGTATAAGTCCCTGAACGATATTATGGAACAGGACCGGCGAATGATAGTAGCCGAGAAGCATGAATCTCAGAACCAGCAGTACATCGTTTCTACGTGCTTTAAAAGGAAGCTGTCTCGCGACTACAATAGAGCGAAGTAAGGTGCAGAGGCTTTAGAAACAGTTATTTCGAGATGTACTCCTTGAACTCTTCATGCTCCCGTCCTTCTTACTTTTGTAGGCATTTTGGTCCGCCAGCTCTCGGAGCAAGATGAACTCTCCGCGTGATGCAAGGCTTTCCATGATCGCAACAATCCAAATGCCTGGTTAACACAGAAGACGCAATATGGAATAAATCATGATCAGAACTAGGGCTCGCCTCTCAAAATATGTCTCCTTCATTCTGCTTGTAGTATTCGTCAAATCACTAGTACCAATTCCTGGTAAGTCAATCGACACAAGCCAGTTAATCAGCCTCTGCACTGTAAATTTGAGCCGCCATAGAGCCGTTGAGTCCAAGTTTTGGATGAAGGGGTCAACAACTATATAGGAAGGATTTAACCCGTGCGGACAAAACTGTTAGTAAGAGAAAGGCATGCTTCCATAAAGTCGAATGGCGCCTACTACAACTGTTAGCTTGATTACCGGATGTATAGGTCCCAGGGATGGCCTGGAGTATGTACCCCGCTCCAATCGAGCACTCTCGCTCATCGTTCGCAAGATTTAAGAACAGGTGGGATATCGTCATGATCACATTGTCAGGCCTTTAAACAGAACAGCAGATCAATCCGTCAGGCTGTTATTCTTAATAATCGGGACGACATAAATTTCCTCAACGCGCTCGATAAGTCTGCTTACACGTTTTCCCAGCATTGCTGGAGCAATGAGATAGCGTTCTTGGAAGGCAACAAGTCACCTTGGGATTCTGAGGCAGATAAAATCGGCATATTTGCAAGATGATCCACCAGAAACTAATCATAAAAGGCGAATCGTCTGTCAGGACTTATGCATTTTCATCCAGGCGCTGCATCGAAAAACCATCTCATGCTAGGCTACCTCGATGTAATTGCTCGTGGCAAAGGGCCGTGTTGCTGGCAGTGCGACGAACATGGCAATAAAGAGGCACTATAAAACGCAGATCCGAGGAATGTCGTCAAATGATGTTTTCAGCAGCAATGCGTCCAACACAGCAAGCTATTCAGAGATAACGAAAATACCTGTATTGGGTATTCTAGCGGTGGTGTAGCATGAATACAGGTTTTCTCCGCAAATGCCTGCAGAGTCGCCATATCCTTCTCAAAATCCTGTTTCTCCTCCTCCGTCAAAGTTATCGCTGTTATTAAATAGACCGCTTGCTGTCAGTCCAATGTCACCTCTCGAACAAACATCCAGAGCAGCAAAGGTAGCACTGCTAGGCCTGCCTCTAACCTTCTTTTCGTCTTGCGACGGATATGACAAGTGGAATGTTCCTGGCATAGTCCTGCTTCTAAACAATAGAGGGAAGATGATGGCGCACTCAGTGGCAGAAATATTGATTTTTGAACGTGATCAATCAAGCAGAAGTGCTTACGTACAGTGTTAGTGTCCGATACTAGGTTTTCAAACCAGTCGTTGTGAGAGCGGGCCCAAAAGAGATCACGATGGGCGGTGCTTACAGCGAGAAGGATGCGATCTCCAGTCTGGTTCTCGAGTGCATTTTGGTGCTGAAGAGTGAAAAATGTACATACGGTCAATGTACGTGATCTCCGCCAATGCATTCCGGTATTACACAGCCAGTTAAGCGTACTGCTGCTTTCAGTTCCAGGCCAAGGTCCAGCAAAATGGAAGCGTCAGGCTTGTCGAGTGTTGCAATCTGTGTGAGCAGTTTGATGATAGCGGTCCTCTTGACATTTTCCTGCAAGGTTGGGCTATGAAGGATGCCTTTGATGACGGCTTCCATGGTGAAGAACAGTTGCGAAGTAGCAGAGGACATGAACCCCTTTGCAAGGGATCGCCCAAAGTGGCTTTTGGGCAACTGTGGAAAGGGTCCCAGCGCGCGAGGGGAAGGGGGGCGATGCACGCAACCACTTGTCTTTGTGCGGTCGCCATACATGTATAGTAGCTTTTGAGCCCTCAGCCCATTCAGATCGGGGATCACTCACACTACACCAAGTCCTATACACCGAACGAACCACAGCTGCTGCATCAACATACTCATGCCGCCAAAGCGAACGAGAGTAGGTGCTCATCAAATCAACTTTGGACGGACACAGGACACTACGAACTTTGTTACGCTGCAGTCCAACTAACCACTTCTTCTCATCTTCTTCTCACTAGAACAAGTCGCCATCGTCACCAACGCGAAAGGTTCCGACTAGAAATGCCAAAACGCGTTCGGCTGCCAGTACGGCATCAATGTACAAGAACGCGGAGGCGTATCTTGAATCGGCGTCGGATGAATACTCGGATCAAATCAGCGATCCCGAAGACGCGGTGTCGGAGAGCGACACGATAGGAGTCAGCGACACAAACAATGAGGATGAATACGATGATGAGGATGAGGATATATTCGACAAACCGGCCAAGACACGGTCGAGGAGAACCCAGAGAGCCACAGAACCTTCCAGCACTTCCAGTAAAGCCGGAGGCGCATCAAACAGGAAAGCACCCGCGACTGAAAAGGGCAAAGGGCGTGTACAAAGGACTTCGCCAACAACAACATCAACAGGAGCGACGCGCAAAGCGGCGCCACCGTCAAAGCCAACTCCTCCACCAAAAGTAGCCCCGCCAGCAACCACGGCCGCAAAGAGAAAAGCCAGTCAGGTCAGGTTTGTGCCGCTGGTTTCGAGTCCCGCTTCCTCTTCATCCTCGAGGACGACCGCTGCCACATCAACAGCATCGTCTCCGTCCATACATACCAAAGCAAACCCAGAGACCTCAGGTACCTGAGCCTGAACGTTCTTCAGTCATTTTCGAGGGAAATCTGAGGTGAGGAGGTTCCTAATAATGTTATGTCTCTCTCATATCAGATCAAAACCAACGGAGCGACCAATGGACAGAAAAGTACGCGCCGTCGGACATAGAGGAGGTTGCGGTACATCATGGAAAAATCGCAAGTGTCAGAGAGTGGTTAGAGACGTATACTGTACGTTGCCTACGACTATGTTATGCTGTTTTGTCAAGATTCTAAGGAGCATGATAGCTGACGAGACTCTCCTGTATTCATAACGAATAGGATCCAAGCAACAGACAGCAAGATGTGTCTGGAGGGGCGATTTTAGTGTTGAGCGGACCTGCAGGATCAGGAAAGACAACCGTGCTCAAGATGCTGGCGCAAGAAATAGACCTTACTATTGTCGAGTGGGCAAATTCCGTCAACGAAAACAATGTTGTTCAGCGACCAGTAATGCCTGGCGAGGATAGCTGGAGAGCCACGTCGATTGACGAAGGTACATTGCCGTAGCAAAAAAACCACGATTATCCCGGCGGGCCGAGGATAATGGCCTGACATCCTATTCTATTATATATCTTGATAGAATATATACCAGTCATGAGGACGTTCCAAGAATTTTTCTCAAGGGCGCAGCGTTTCAATCCCATATTGACCTCTAGGGACCTGTCTCAGTCCAGCCAGAGTACAGGAGCTCAGGCAGGCTTCTCGGCGTCGATGTCTGCCTCAGGAAGGAAGAACGTCATTTTGATAGAGGATCTTCCGCCGATCACAGCAGTATCTTCACGGAAAATATTTCAGGAGACGATTGCAAAGTTCGCCAACTCTAGAATCAGCTCTTCATCAGTTCTGGTCCTTATTGTCAGTGATGTTTTTACAAAGCAGAGCACTGAGCTGTTGTTTTCAAACACCAACGAGAACAGGGACCCAGCCATGACGATCAGGGTACTTCTTCCGTCCACAGTTCTGGATAAGATTGATTCTGGAGGCAGAGGATGTGCCAGAGTTAAACAGATCAAGTAAGAACCGGATTATATGGACGCCAGAAGATATCATACCGCTGTCATTCACAGTCTGATAATAACCTGCGTTTACGTTCTCAAGATTCAATCCAATAGCACCAACAATCATGACGAAGGCGATTCGGAAATTGATCAACAAAGAGTTCAAGGCTTCGCATGCACATGCACCGGACACGGCGGAAATAGAGCAAGCGATCAAGATGCACGATGGCGATATTAGGGCGGTCATCAACTCGCTACAGTTCCTGTGCTATATACCAGCAAAGAAACGAAAGCGCTATAGAGAGGCAGCAATATTACAGGAGGAAAACCAGAAGAACGTCCACGATTCGGAAAATAAGCACGTTTCATTGTTTTTTCCGATGGGGGGAGCTATGATTTGAAATTGTTTGCCGGCTGTTTTCTGATGACGCGTGCTGTTTATCTCTTTAGAATCACGCAAGGGCAGGATTCATCACTTGGAGTCTTCCACGCCGTTGCCAAAGTGCTATACAACAGGCGTATGCTCGATACCTGCGATTTTCTAGACACAATCGAATTTTACGTGCGGGTGTGACAAATGTACTAACGAGACATGAGATTATTGCCTTTCTTCGGCTCTATAGGCGACTGGAAAGCGCCGCATGTCGAATTCGATAGCGACATCGTAAAGGTTCCGCCGCAAGCCTGGACTATGCGACGTCCGCCCTTGCCCTTCAATCCAGACAAGGTAAGTTGCAATGTCATTATAACAGCTTTCTAAGCTTTAGGTCTTATTGAAACGCGATTGACATTTTTGGCAAAAAACAGGACTTGATTGAGAAGCTTCCGATTGAGCCTGACTTGTACACGCTCATGCTGTACCAGAACTATACTCGGCATATGCACACGATCGAGGAGTGTCACACAGCAATGGAGTATTTATGCATCGCCGACCGTTTCTCTCACTCGTCCGGAAGCAGCGCCAACTACACGCAGATGATTCAGATGCAGCCATACATGACATCGCTGGCGGTTCGCGGGCTGTTGTTTGCCCCAACCTCGGCAAGTCCGACATCCAATGTTGGAGGAGCAAAGAAGCACTGGTGGCCGGAGCTCTTTGCCGTAAACAGGATCATGCATGCCAATGACGAGATGTTTTTGGAAGTTGCAGTTGACCTTTTGGGAGAAGAGGCCAAAGGACTCTCTGCAGGACATGTCACAGGACCTGGTATGCTGCTGCTTCTAATGCCGCGCTGTTTTTTTCTGTTTTTCAAGCAAACCCCCCGGCTATTATCATGTGACGTTGGCGCTAACAGAAAACTCGCTCCGACTGCTTGCGTGGATATAGGCTTATTCCCGAAACGTGTAGTGCGTGAGGAGCTGGTGCCCATGCTTCACAAGTGTATGAGGATGAATCCTTATATGCCAATCTTCAGCAAGTCACTTCGACCTAGCTCCAAGGCCTTTGTTCGGGATGGGGCGGGCAACTACGGCAGGAAAACTGGAGTAATCAAGAAGGAGTTTGGAGAGGGCGATGAGGGGTTCCTGGAGGATGTGACGGACACTTCCCCCAGTGCTGAGGCTGGCGTTGTGGATGAGATTGTCGATGAGTCTATGGAGAAAATCGGCACGGGGTCCGGATGGGACAGTAGAGTGAAGCAGGATCAGCAGAAGAAGCAACGGGATCAGCTCACATATGAGGTTGAACATGACGAGGATCCCATTGAAGACTTTTCAGAATGATTGACATAGCTCACTCTACGGCTCTCTCTCTCCCTCTCTCTCTCGCATACTCCTCGCTATACTACTTCACTGTATACTACTCAGATGCAGCCCTCCCACGCTGCCAACAAATTTTGGATGTAACACTATTGTGGCAATATTGACGATCAATGTCTGTGCGTCCATGCAAAAAAATCTGGATCAGGTGATAAAAAGGAAAATGTGAGAAGAGGCCGGTCCTAATCAAAAAAGGTCCAGCCGACATGGAGGATATGTCAATCGTACATGGTGACTATGACGATTGGTGGTTTAAATGGGATCTGAGGCACGTACGTGGAGACATGGCTTCTTTGCTATTGGTACAGATAACGCAACCTCAGGCTAGGATACATTTGTCAACTTTCCTTTTCGGGTACCAATGGATCGTTGGAGTCGTCTCTTTGGTCTGACCGCAGCCAAACCTTATTCCTGCCGATTACGTATCAGCTCGTTGGACGTCTTTATATAAAGGGACGACGGCCACCGATTCCTTCTTCATCTCACAACTCATCACTTTAACACCCAACCTCATCACCCTCCTCTCTCTCCTTCATTTTTTAGCTCCTTTCTCCCTCTCCCCCTCTCACTTATACACACCACAAGAATGTCTGGAAATGTTGGCTGGGATGACGAGATTGTGCTTCGCAAGCGTTCGGACCATGCGAAGGTGACCCGCACCGCTTCCGACATCAATGCAGCCCGTCGTGCTGGTGCAGTCGTATCAACAGAACGTAAGGTTGTGACCAATGCAGGACATGTTGGCGAGGACTTTAGGAGGATTGCCAAGCTGGCAGAGACGGACGAGATTGTCGCACCCAAGGCGGTCTCGATGGACGTCGGAAAGGCCATTGCCAAGGCCAGGATCGAAAAGAAGATGAACCAGAAGGAATTGGGCGTCAAGGTCAACGAGAAGCAGACAGTCGTAAGTTATTCATTCATTCATTCTTTTGTTTCTTTTGGTGTTGGATAGAGAGGCGATCTTTTTTTTTTTTTTTTTTTTTTTTTTTGGTCTTCTTGTGCTAACAATAATGTCCTGATTTTGGAATCAATTAAATAACAGATCAACGACTATGAGGCTGGCCGTGCTGTACCGAACCAACAGATTCTCGGAAAGTTGGAGCGCGCTCTTGGAGTGAAGCTGCGCGGCAAGGACATTGGATCGCCATTGACCTTTGGCAAGAACAAGGACACTGCCTAAAATCATCGACTGCGCACAAGGACGAATAGGCGCGGGAGATCTCGAAAATCGATGGCAAAATCTAATCCAATCCAAGCACCAAGCAAACACAAAAAAAACCAAAAAAACATGCTGCGCCTGCACCGACATATCTTATCTTGTAAAACTATGGACTCTGTACATCAATAATTGCGAACACAGCATCTTTTGGGCAAAAAAAAAAAAAAAGGGACTGCGGCAACCTTTGCAGACTAGGCTTTGTCTTTGCACAGACGCAACCTTTTCCTTTGCTTTTGCCATTGCTAGGAGTCCAGCATATGTTGTATATAGAATTGACCATTAAAGCAACATCTGGATACTCTTTCGCAAAATAAATACAAAGAAAAAAGAAAAAGGAAAAGGGAAAGGAAAAAAGGGTGTTGATTGGTGTTCAATGATGCGATTGGTTCATGCTGGAATGTTAAAAGGTCCTCTTTTTTTCAAGGAAAAGTAAATATGCCTTGAGAACAAAAGGGGGTCAGGGATTTTGTCCCAGATCAGATTGTCTCCCAGCAGTGAGTGCACAGTGGAAATCCGCACATCTGCGCACCTATTATGTCACCGAAGTGACTTCTAAGCGTCGCATACGACATGGGAAATCATCAGGGGGAGTGTGGGGGCGGCACACAAAAAAAACTAGTCTGACTACTATTCCTCGCGGGGTCGGCGCGTCCTCTGGAGAATCGCCATGATCTGTTCCTCCTCCTCCAAAGCCTTTCTCTTGGATGCCTTTTGGGTGCTGTCTTGGACGCTATCGAGAGTGCAGTTGTCGATGCTACTACTGCTACTGCTGGTTCCCTCAAAAGCTTGATGGTCCTTTTCCTCAGCGCCCCCGGTGGTCTCCGTCTTCATCCACGGATAATTTCCCTCCTCGTCTACCGGCTGCAGGTACAAAGGCCGCTGTTGGTGGAGCAGATGTCCTTGGACGGCATTCACCATGTTGTGGGCCGCCATCTCATCCCTGTGGAATGGAGTTCCGCAGTCCTCGCAGAAGAGCCTTCGGATAGACACCTGGGAAACAAATGTGTGGCAACGGGGGCATTTCTTGGGGCTGTAATATTCATTAACACCAAGAACGATGTAACTAAGCGACCTGCCCTAAAGAGCGATGACGGTGAAATGTGTGAAAGTCAATAAATGAACTATCTGTCGTAGGGACAAGAAATCGCCAGAGGAGTGAAACACTTACCAGGGGCACAAAGAATGCCAGAAAGGAGTCGTGGAGTGATGTGAGGCGCGAGCAACTGCTGAATTGACCAAGTCCAATGCCAATCACCACCATGTTCTTTTCCTCTCTTTTGGCGCCTATCGATCCCCCCACCGACCTCAGCAAACTGTTTGCGATTACCAGGTACTCCTCCTCCCGTGCACGTTGGGCATCCCATTCGTGGCTCTGGTAGAGCCTGTTCGAGCCATTGTAAAAACTGCTCAAGCGCTGCTCGACCATCTCGAGCTGCTGAACGTACTGCCCAACGCTTGCATCTGGCCCGCGGAGCGGTGGGAGGTCTGACTCAATCTCTTGGATCGATTGAGTTGCACCTTCCGGTACCACCCGTTTTTGCTCCTCTGTCCATCTTCGGAACTTGAATGTGGGTTGGTACACGGCCTTCTGGTTAACAGATATGTTGTAGTATGTCTCTGGATAGGGCGGATCAATCAAAGAGGCAGCAGAGTTCGTCCCAGAGGCGGCTGTGGAGATCAAAGAGGCAGGAGTGACCCTGTGGGTAGTAGGGGTTGGGAAAGCAGAGGTCGTCACGACATGCCCTTTTCCTTTTTTGTCGTTGATCGGACGGTCTGTATCTGGTAGGAAGGCGCTTCCAGCTACAACATAGGCTTGACCAATATCCAGACACAAAATCTTGATCTTTTCTGGAGGGCAATGCGGCCAGAGTCGAGTGACATCGTCCTTGGCCTTTATGACATTCCAGATCTCCTGCAAGTAATAGTCGGTACCTCCAACCGTTGACGTCAGGCGAGGGGGCAAAATGGCATCTGCCAGCCTTCGATATCGAACTGCTTGCAACTCCCTTAACTTGTAGGCAGACAGCTGAAGCCTGAAGCCATTGGTGTGGAAAGATCCTGTCAGAACATATCCCTTGAGGCTGTAATTTCGAGGGTCAAAGTTGGAATCACGGATGGCAGACAAATGGTTCCTCGCATCCAAAAGGGACATGTTGGTGATTGCGCTTCGGTATCCCAGCTTCCCTCGTTGCCGAACAGTGAGACCAGTAGGAGTGACGTCTGCAATAAGGCTCTTGATTAGGAACCCTGGCTCTTGATCTGGTAACTATATGGTTATCACGTCTTCTCCGAGGAGCAGCTCGGAAATGTGACCCTTGCCAACTCCAGAATCCGAGTTTTAAGGAGCGGTCGTTTCCAGCATAAAGTGACGAGCTCTCGCTCCGAGAACGAGACAAAACCATCCTTTGCCGAAGATAGTGGGGCAATCTTCCGCCTGTTGCCGCTCATCATGTTGAATGTCAGAAAGTTCTCCACGGCTGTCAACTCGTTATGGATCTCCAAGTCGTATCCAACTACTTCCGGTCTGCCTTTTTTTTGCCAACCCTTGAGCTGTTGTTGATAAAGCGACCATCTTGTATTAGAAAAATTCCTAATGTCATGCTACAAAATTCATTCAAGAAATACACTTGTTACCTGCTCTTGTAGTTCAATCGCTCCATTGCGATAAATACGTTTGAGCTCAGCGCCCAGCTGAGTAGACACACTCCGTACTAGCTCCGAAGGTGAGAAAGGTGTGCTCTGGCGTATAGCACTTGTTAGCCTTGGGGGAGTGTACAAGTTCAGCTCCTGTAATCGCCCAATGAAGCCAGTAACAAGTTTGCCAACGCCTCGATTCGTGGGAGGATTGCCCGAATAAAGATGTCGTAGAAAGGCATAAAGGAACTGACTACTGGAACTGTCAGGCTCGTCATCGATGTCGTCGTCAGTGTGATTCTCACTACTGTCCTGGCCGTCATCTGCATCCTTGAGTTCTACCCTTGGGCATAATCCATCGAGATAGTCTTGGTCCTTTGGTTGCATATAACCAGCCGCCATGCTTTCCATGTACAGAGCAATGAGTCTCTGAGCACGTCGTTTGGTCTTGTTGGCCTCTCCAACGGCCTCCCGCAAGCAGTCAATCATTTCGTCAGCGACGTCCGCCCTGGTTTTCAATGCCGCCCTGATGTTTGTTTGTATAGTGCCGATACGAAGAGTCGCCTTTGGGTGCTCCCATTTCAGCCCATTCCAGAGCTGTCGCTTGTCCATGGATTCAATAGGTGTTGGTGGCTTCGATGGCTTCTTGACTGGCTTCTTAGCTGGCTTCTTAGCTGGCTTCTTAGCTGGCTTCGTTGGGGTCAACTTGTTCTCAACTTTCTCCAAAGGACTCTCAGGCAGCTCGGTCCATGGCTTCCATTTGTAGCGCTTCATTGCCTGTGGAGGTTCGTGCGTTACTGTTTTCGTCCTGGTTTTAAAGGAGTAGCGAGGGCGAGGAGGAGGTGTGGTACTCGAATCCTTGCTGTCCTTCGGAGGCGGGCGGTCGATGGTGCGGTACCTGTTGAACTTTTGAGAGGATCGATGTCGAGGTGGAGAACCGGGGGACAACGCACTAATTACTAAAATGGAGAAAGAAGAAAGGAATTAATAAAACACTGCAAATGCAATTGTCATCACAGACAAACTGAAATGTGTTGGTGAGGCATACCTCTTTGTTGCCTGTCTGGAAGCTAACTGCGCCTGTTTCCGCTCGGTAAACTTACTGCGAGCGTACTGGTACCTTTCCTTGATGCCCTCCAATCTCGCCTCAAGTGCGGTAGTATCTGGTTTGTCATGTTGGCCATGCGCGATCGGGGTTTGGTGAAGATGGACGAAAACATTGATGCTCGTGTCGAAAGTAATGCCGCGTTTGTTCTTGATAACAACACGTTCATCAGCAAGGTATTCTTTCACTAGTGCCGGTACGTCTTTGGCTAAGAGATAAAAGATGAATGTATTAGAACAAGACATTTTTTTCAATGTGAAAAGCCCAATGCATAGTACGCACCCTGATCGTCTGATCCTTTGGCTTTCATATCCTTAACGATCTTATAGTTGGTCTCGCATCCCAGGCCGTACAGACTGCGATTGTAATCATTGGTCGACACAACACCCAAGACCGTAAGCTGCTCTGCCGTCTCGAGTCCCAGCGCAGACAACATGTCTTTTTTCCGATACTCCAAGAAACCGCCACCACATACTGGTCGCCAAACAATAGGGATGCTGTGGTAAATGAGAAGGTCCGAATCCCCGCTGATGACAATGTCTCCTTCCATGGTATCTGTGGCGATTTTGACATCCGCCGCTGTATCACACTGCACGACCCTCCATCCGTGGTTCTCGAGAAAGCGGACAAGTCCGTTCCGAGCCTCCACATCCCAGCGAAAGGCGTTTGTGAGTTGCTTATCGACATTGGTAAAATGGCGCTTCCTGATATGTGCGCCTTCGGATACGCGATCCATGAAAGTCGTGACATGATCTCGGCGGCGTCGATGACCGTTTTTCGAGCATTCTGGCGCTTTTCATGGGTTGCAAGTTTTCCCTCGCATTGAGCGCCATCGAAGTATAGAATGACTGTCGTTGGATCCATGATGCGTTTTTCGAGATTCTTCATGACCAGAGCATGGGCAGCCTCAAGGTCACTGCAATGAGTATAGGCGTATCGAATCGTACAATAAAAGCTTCCTTGCATGTCGACGCGGAATTTGTTGTGTGGTTCACCAAGAGCTTGGCGTTGATTTCGCGGTTTTCGTAAAGCTGGGTCGTATCGCTTTTTTTTTTTTTGGCCGTCAGGAAGCGCCAAAAGGAAAGGCACCCCATGACGCGGACTGGATACCAATGGTGAAATGGAGAGTCGAGGCAACGTTGATTAGATATGAGATTTATACCAAACAAGGGCTGTACAAGGAAGGAGTGGAATGAGAAAAACGACAAGTGAAGAAATCCGATAGGTGGACTCGACCAATTGCAACCAAGGATGATAAGTGGCAACGAAGTGAGATGCAGAGGATGCGGAGCAATAAAAAAGAATATTTGCTCCAATAAGGATGGCGCGTACCTGTGAAGGCAATGGTTCAAAGGACAAACAGCCAATATTGGTTATGGTAATGGGCAGAAGGAGCGGATAAGGGAAAGTGAGCGCGGAGGAGGAAACAAAAACGACACGCGTCCTTCTGGCTGGAGCGGGGCGAGAACTCAAGACGCGATTAAGCAGCATTTGCGATTACAAGAAGGCATACTTCCTCCAGCATCACCCTTCCCGATATGGTAATAGGTCCTCAGATTCGCACCACCCGTGCACAGTGGTCTGACGCCACCGAAAAAAAAATGGCAAGCTATTTCAACAGCACAGGCTAGGCTACGCATGCCGCGGATAATGCTCTGAAAAAAAAGGTAATTTGTCATGGGCGACGAGAATAAATGTTCTATAATATATAGGAGGGGGGCAAAAGGGCATCATGACCCATGATGCTCGCAAAACGTGAGTGTGTTGTGGAGCACGGCATGCTCGCACGCGCCTGTCAATGAGTCTGGCATGCCTGTCCTTAGCCGAGCCGCGGTGTCTGTTAAATTAAAAAAAAAAAAAAGCTTCGGGGTTGTTGAGGGTACTCAATTTGCTACTTTGGAAGGACACGATGGACACGCACGCTATACAATGATAAGCAAATATCAGGTAGAACCGATTCTTCATGATGATTAGCAACAATCTTATGCTGTGCACGCGCTTTTTTTCTATACATCAAATAAACCGTGATTATTTCTTTTCTATGCCTTCAATAGTGCTCTGCTTGTATTTTTGTGCTCAATTGCGATGGAGCCCCTTCCTCCCCACCCTTCTCTCCTTCCCAGAGGATGAAGTTGAGCATCTCTCTGTGGGAGCCGTAATGGTATCCTCGCTAACTGTGTGAGTAAGCAAAAGTATATATTTATGCCGTTGTTATTGTAAATGTATGAATGCTTTTTTTTTTTTTGCATGTGGTATGTCTGGGCTAATTATTGCATGTATTGTGGAGGGAGCCAAGCGTTGTGTGGGTGGCATGTGGGAATCATGCACACACCATCAAAGGAGGGGGAAATGAGAGACGAACACAACAAGCGCTTTGCGCAAAGACGCGTGTATTTATTTATTGGCGGGAGGAGTGAAAAACGAGACTGGACCGTCATCATAAAGAGACCTAATTGATAACAAAAGCCTTGCCTTTAATGCCGTGCATGAAGGACTACATTGTGGATGTGTCTGTGTGTATAATAGACTACCATTGAATGGATGCATGTGTGTTATAAGAATGGGTGAATGGGTGTTGGAACAAACAAACGGATTTCATAAACATTATTTTTCATTTCCATATGGGTGCTCATGGGAGAGTTGGTTGGAGGGAGGACACGAGCCCGGAAGGGAGGGAGAAAATAGGACAATAATAAGGCCTAGCATGGATGCTAGAACAAAGGATCTCGATTTGCGTACCCATGTTCGTCTCCGTAGCAATGAGGAGAAGAGGGTTTTTTGGCTACTCGAGTGAAAGAAGCCGGGCTAGGCAGCTTGTTCGTGCCCAGGTAGCCCTTGACGACCGGCCATGGGCGACGACGGATCCGAGAAGATAAGGTTTTGTACACATGTACCGATCCAAACTCCTCTCCACAGGTGAATAGATTGGGCGAACGGGGCGTAAAAATATAAATAAAACGAAGGCCATGGCACGTAGCTCTCGGGGAGCCAAAGAGGTCGGGAGAAAGAGCTGCCCGCTCTGGCGTGTCAAACAAGGTGTCAAGAAGAAAGGAAGAAAAGAAAAAAAGGAGGGAACCAGGAGTGCAGACGCAGGTCAGCTGCAGCCAGCAAGCAAGCAGTCAGGCAAACGGCCGGGCGTAGTAGACTAGACCAAACCAGCACTGTCCAATAATGTGTCTGCTGGCGGTGGTGCTGCCTACCAGGCACGTGTAGACCCGGATGAGCTGCAGGTTGTTGCACATGTGTCTGTCTTTTTTCTCTTTTTCCTTTTTTTCTTTTTTCTTTTTTCTTTCAGGCACAACCTTTTTTATTGTTTTACACTCAGACTGAGTGGCCAGGTCTATGGCGGGCGGGTGGTGATGCTGCTACTGCTGCTGCTGCTGCTGCTGCTGCTGATGATGATGATGATAGGGGACTCGATTATTGTGCGATATGGCACTCTATGTGAATCAATAGTCAGTTGAATACTCCGATTGAAAGCGATATTCATATCTTGCATGTCCCTGCCCTGCCATGTGAAATTGATATGAAGACTATGGCCCTTTTGTTCCTAAGTAAACCTTTGGGGGCAAGGCTTTCTCCACCCGCGCTCTCTCTCTCTCACTCACACACTCGCCTTCTCTTTCGCCTTCTCTTTCTCGTTCTCTTTCTCGTTCTCTCTCTTCCCTCTCTTTCTCATCCTTTTTCCTTTCCTTCGTTCTTTCCCACTCTCGCTCTCTCATTCCATTCCCTCTCATTCATCCCATCGACGATCTGTCTCCGCCCTCTCATACGCTCAGGGGAATCAGTACCTCCTCTTCCGTACACCCTCCTTATTCTCCGGCACCCACACGTTGTCCCTCTCGACGTGTCTGTAGTCTTGACTTTCCTTTCCCTCTTCCACACACCACCGCCACCACCACCACAGCCGCTTTTTCTTCTTCTTAGTCTCTCATATAACAATCCCCTCTCTCATCCTCCTCTTTTTCAGTCGTGTCTTCAACCTCAACAGGTAAGCAAGCAATTTTCTCTCTCTCTCACTCTCCCATCCTCACACTCACACCCACACACACACGCTCCCCCTCTCTCTCTTCAGCCATCAGCCTTCATTCACATCATCATCAACAGAACCTCCACAGCACTCTTTCCCTCCATTTACACGCATCCTATCTCTCTCCATTCGATTCGGCAACGACATCCAAACCATATCTCTCACTCGAATGAACTCAAATACACCCGCAGAACAGGCACATTGGCAGAAATGAAAAGACAGACAGTGTAGTAAACAAAGCAACCGAACAAACAAACAAACAAACAATACCCATAACAGCATATCCCCAGCAAAATGGAAGGAAGAGAGCGAGATAGAAAAGGATATGCTTAATGCTTCATTAGCCGCTTGGCATCCATAGCGCATCCACTGCATACACTGCATACACTGCACCCATGCAAACAAACCAAACTATTCCAAGGCCGATCCAAAGGGGAGGAGAAGGACTGCCCTTTTCACTCCTTTCATTTTCATGTGCCATCCATCAACCCTCCCATCTTCTCTCCCTCATAAACGATAAGCCAAGCTAACCCCAACTCCTCATCGCCATCATCCTCATCGATATTCCTATCTTTCTATCTTTCCCTCTCTCTCTCTCTCTCTCTCTACCTGCGTCCCCCTTCGCTGCCCCTAGTACACAAAAAACTGGCTCCCTCTGCGATGCCCTCTGCCAAGGAAATGTCCAAGGCCCAGCCAATGTCCATCTCCCAGCTTTGTCAGCAGGACTACACCTCAGACGACGAGCTAAACAACATCAAGCAGGACCTCGACCAAAGCCCCCACGATCTCGACTCTGAGGATGACCTGGATTCGTCCCATATGAACAACGGACGCAATGGCTTTACCAATAGCCACACTCGCCAGAATGGTCGTCAGATCTACAGTCAGTCCTCGGATATCGAAGAGGAATTCGACCAGTTCAGCAACCACAGGCGGCATACCACCGACGACGAACCAGATTCTGCAGAGCAGCTGGCAGCCGAGGCCCTCGGCGACATGGCCAACGTCGGTCGCTCTACTTCGTCTTCGACATCGGGCTCGTTCATAGCCCCTGCTGGCCCCTTGCTTTCACGCATGTCCAGCCTACCGATCGTCAACTCGGCTCTGCAGGCATACTCTAATGGCAAACAGAACAGCAAATTTATGAAGGTATGTCATCCATCTTCCCGAAGAATTTTCTTAAGTGTCAATGCTGGTAACTTTGAACGAACTAAGGTCTAACAACGCCGTCATTCCCCTCTTCCTTTTATATATATTGTCTACTGCCGATCATCATCGCTTCTAGTATGGAGCAGAGATGGTTGAATCGGGCGTCAAGTCATTATCAAAGCCGGTCTTTGAGAAGCTTGAGCCAACCCTTGGCCAGATCGATGATTTTGCCTGTCGTCAACTGGACAAGGTGAGAATAACGGACGGACAAGAACAGTTGCCACTCTTGCTTGCAGAAATAATTTTTATAATACTCATACATGTCTTCATTCATCTTACGCTCAATAGGTATACCAAAAGCCCGATGTCCAGCCATTCCCTTCGCCAACAAGCTCTTCTCGCTCTTCGAACGACATTATCCGCCCAGACGCCAGCTACTTTGCCCATCGTTCTCGGAACGATAGCTTCGACAGCGTGTCCTCTGCTTCCAGCTCTCGGCAAAGCTACGATGTCCTCCGCTCGCGAAACCCTCGACGTGAAGAAGGTATGCACAGCATCCGCTTATAACCCCATTTGTCTGTTATTGCTAAGAGACATACCTTTCTGACCAGACCTCCTTGTTTCCTAATCCATGACATGTAGCCACTCGAAGGCAGCGATCAGATTCTCAGTCAAGTCAGCGGCCATTGGTATCGTCCACCTACCAAACATCCAGCACCCACTACAATTACTCGTCACAGCAGCAGCAGCAGGTTGGATCTATCTCGGCTACACCATCACAGCAGTTCTCTGGCTGGCGCGGTGTCGTTGCCACCGTTGGATCTGCCTCTGCTGCGGGTGTGGCCATCTTCAGCGAAGAGAGCATGAAGAGCTTGAAATATTGCCTTCAATGGCTCCAGGTAAATCCTCGTGCAACCATCTCTGGGTTTAGCGACTATACCAGATGACAGAACTAACCACGTTTCTTTTTGTTAATGACGCCAAACTAGTATGCTGTGCATCACATTGACCATCAAATTGGATTGTTGCGCGCATTCCTTGTTTCTTTGGCAAGCCCATCAAAGAATACAGAAATTGTTCCCTCGACCGCCGCATCCACCCTGGCGTCCATCAAGAAAGAGGTCGTTGACACCCTGCGCAAAGTGATCACCATTGTTTCGCGCTACGCCGGCGCCTGCTTGCCGGACCCTGCCAAGATCAGCGTGCGCCAGTTCATTCTTTCGATGCCCGTTCGCTGGGCTACTCTCAACAACGACTCCGTGCCCTCAACTCCCATTGGATCTCCATCCCTCGGTCCAGTTGACCGTTCAGCCGAAGACGTTGTCGCGCTGAATGAAACCTCTGAGCGCGCCACCAAGGTTCTGGTTCTTGCGCATGAGTCGTCTGATATGCTGAAGTCCGTCGCATCCATTTTCAAGGACTCTGTGGACAAGGCCGAGAACTGGATGGACAAGTTGCGATACGTCGGAATGAACCCCCAGAACAATAGCGAGGGCCTCCCTAGCTGGGCACCCACTGGGTTCCCCAGTACATACAGCAATACGATGCCTGGAGGATTCCCTGGAGCAGGCCTAGAGCAGTATTCTTTACGCCAAACTCAATCTCATTCTGCCAATGGACATACTACCCCTACTGGCTCGCCCACGCGCAGTCTAAAGTCCTCGCCACGCCTTGGATCACGCAACCAGAATCACTACAGCCGTCATGCGTACAGACAAAAAAGCGTCATGTCCGGAGACGAGGACTCTGGATCGGAAGAGGATGTTGGCCGCGGTCCTCTCGCAGCCATGGACGATGACAGTTCTTTGGACGAGGAGGACGCATTCTCTCTTGGCGCGACAACCGCCAATGGCCATGGACCAATGAAGCGCAGCATGGGATCGTTTACGCACACCCAGAGTCATCCTGTCCGAAGACGCAAGAAGCGCGGCGAGAGTGCAGAAGTGATCGCTGGCCTGGGAGTGACTCCTGCCATCAATGGCCATGCGATCGCACAAGAGTCCATGTAATGACTATTAACGACCACTTTAACGACCTATTCTTACGACTTTTTTTGATTTACAAAAACACTGCTTTGCAAAACAGCATACCAGCGCGCAACTTGCTTTTTTTGCTCGCAGCCGCCATCTCCTTTTCTCTGTCTCTTCTAGTCTTCGTTTTACTTTGCAAGCAAACCTGTACTCTAGCCTCCATTTCATTGCAGTGGCTGTATTCTATCGCTCTCCTTCTCTTTCCTTCTTTTCGAACCTGTATTATTGCCGCGCTTTCTTTTTCTTTTTCTTTCTTTTTTTTCTTTCTTCTTTTTTTCTTTTTTTTTTTCTTTTTCAATAAATACGCGATGTTGAAACGGAAATGAGACCCGGACTGTTGCTTAGAGCAGTACAAATACGTCTTGGATGCCCATGTATTCATCTCTACTGAGATGGATGGACGACTCGATACAACCAACCATGTATTCGCTTCGTTTATTTTTTTATTCGATCTGGATCTCGTTCGCTTCTTGCGCGAATTCGCCCTCAAAATCCAAGGATTACGACGTCTAAGAGTTCTTGGACGGCAGTTAGTGATGGCAGCGACAAGAGCGTCAAAACAATGGTCAATGCGAAGGTAGCGAGCGATTCCCTCGACTTTGATTTCTCGTCCTCATCCCTCGTCCCGTCGTTCACATCCTCATTCAGGTGGGTTGAAAACGGTCGACGCACCAACCGTCTTCTGCGATCAAGTCTCGAGCTGCTCGGTATGTGACCTATATGGTTGACACGGGAATTCCTCTGGAAGACCGTGTCTAAGAACTGCGCAGTCGTTTGAATGAGGGTGTGGGATCCGAGAGGACTGAGGGATGAAGTTGATCATGTATAGAATCAACCCATGTGTGTGTGAGTTGAAGAGGAACGAGTGGGGAGGAGGGTGAGCAGGTCCTTTTGTCATTTTGGAATACCGATTTGGGTCGCTTGGGCCATGGTCTGTGGATGATGGTTTATGAGAGCCCCTAAGAGAAGAAGCTGACGGCTGATTGTTGTTGTTACCAACCATGGAGGTGCGGACAATGGGTGGTTGGAGGTCCTGGAATACACCAATGAGTCCTCAACGGACTGAACGATAACCGAAGCACCTGTTCAGGATCACTAGTGTGTTCGTCAAGATCTCAAACCGTCATCCGCTTCTCGTTGAAAGCAACGTCTCTCAGGAAGGAGCAGAAGGTAGTGTCACCCCGTGGCATTTGCGTGTTCTGCTCAAGACGGGGTAATCGCGTGAAATCATGACCTGGAACTGAAGGGAGAGGGAGAGGGAGAGGGAGGGATCGAGAAGATGTTGGAAGATGATGGATAGATGATTTTTTTTTTCGACGGCGACGACTGCGGTTGTGGACTGAGCGCAACGGGCTGATGTCGGTCGGTCGATACACATTGTTCACGGATGGGTGGTAGACTGGACTGTGAAGGGTGTTTTTTTTTTTTTATTCCTCTAGGCGTCGTGAAGTGAATCCAGAGGAAGATACGAATGTGTCGATGCAAACATTCTGGTTCTCGCGTCATACCATGTTCTTCAAGACATTTTTTCTTTTTTTTTTTCTTTCCTATGCTATACTCTATATATCCATGGAAAAAGAAAAGCCGAGTAAACAAATGGTTTCTTAACAAATGGTTTCTTTTTCAAGTTTAGGAAGTTCCGGAAGATGTTCAGGGACGGAGGACCGATTTGATTGCATTAGCGATGCAGGTGCGGACTCACTCACACACACATACAAACATACAAACACACAAACATCGTCATTTTTTTTATTTATTTTTTTTCATTGCCCGACTAGCATAAATGCATATACCATGGAACATAGACTCTGGATTATAGACCATGGAGCGCTAATGGGAACGTGTGCTAAGAAATAGGGTAAACTAGGGAATAATGGCATGCAAAATCATTTGTTATGCTGTGTATATCTCTTTTTATTATTTGGAATGCTTTAGGTTTCTTTTCATGTGTTGTTACAGAGAAATTGTGAGGACAATGGCGCAGAAGATCGCCAATTAGAGAAATAAAATACAACGCGGAAAAAAAAAAAAAAAAAAAAAAAAAGACGAAGTAGCGCGTCAAACAGGAGGCGGATTTGATACAGGGAGATGAAGTGAAGAAGAGACGAATTAAGAGGAAGGGAAAGTGGGGGGAAGGGCAGGGAAGGGATTTGGAGAGATATGGACACAACTCGTCGAATGAGGAATGCTAGTTACATGTCTAAAAGGAATAAGAATGATGTACAAGTGTGCGGATTGAAAAAGAAAATAAAGAAAAGAAATAAAAAAGGCCGATCGCTAGGCTAGGACAACACGCGTGTGCTAGATCCCCTTGGGATCAAGGGGTCCAGGGGTCAAGCTAGGGATGGAACGCCCCGGGGTTTCCACGGATCGAACAAAAAAAGGTGACATAAGGATTACAGGGCGTTCAATGGGAACAGACACGAGGGAAGGAAGAGAAGAGGGTTGCTTTGTACAAGTGCCGACGGAGCGAGGAGGGGGAGGAGTTGGGAGGAGTCGAAAAAGGAGACAGGGCCAAAGAGCGTCGAATAAAGGTACGGATCCGCTGTGTAGAACCCAAAAAAGGCAGAGGATGCGGATGGCATGTGTCGCTGCGTCATGAAGGGCCAGAGAACGTGTGCGGATGGGCATGGCCTGAAAGGGGAGGGAGGAGGGCCTGAGCGGATCCGATCCTTTTTTTGGACTCTTGTTGTTCTTTACGCAAGGCAAGACATGTTCTCCTTAGACTGGTGGAGTTCGTTGTGGCGGTGCATCATGGCACTGCTGCCGTGATGATGGGCTTGGCCGAATGTGAACTCGCCGCCCTCGCTCACAGGACTACTGCAGCCGCTATTGGTGCCTCTGGAGAGACCTTGATGGTGAGAAAGACCAGCCGAGGACCCACGGGACAAAGACGATTTCAAGACAGATCTAGCAGAAGAACTTACAGCAGCAGCCATCGAGGATGACGAGGGGGATGATCCGGGAACCCTGGCCTCATCCGAGGAGGAATAATCATCCTCAGAGTCTTGCTGTTGCAACTGCTGCTGTTGTTGCTGCTGTTGCTCAAGTCGTCGGTTCATCTCCTGCTTCCAGTCGATACGCAGCTGCATCAGCTCCGTAGCTTCGGAGAAGGTCAGCTTGGCGGGTTCGAGTGCGGACCGATCGTATTCATCACCTGGATATGTGAATGAGATTTTGATGAACCTTGAAAACTGGACCGATTTATTAGCCTGGCAAGGATGGTCGTTTTCTTGTGACATGTTGAGAAGAGTGTCTTTTTACAGATTGTTGGTGTCGGTGTGGTGTGCTGTGTTGTGGGTGGAGACACTGTGTGTGTGTGTGGAAGTGGAAACCGGGGGTTGGTGAAAGACGAAAAGAGGGTGTGAGGTGTGGTGTGAAGTACTGTTGGAAGCTATTACTATGTGTGCTTTCTTCAGTCAAAATGGATGGTGTTGACCAGGCTCGACAAGGGATGTCTTGTTATAAGATAAAAGGCGAAAGGCGTTGTTGCTCAGAAAGAGGGGCTGTAACTCGAGGAATATCAGGGTGCCTTGATTTTGGGCTGGACTGGACTGTGAGCTGAGTTGGGACTGGACTAGGTTGCACTGCCTGTGTGAGTTTGTTGGCTGACTAGTGCTGTTTCTGACGCCCAATGACGATGGTACCGATGCCAAGGATTGCTGCTAAAGGGGTGCTGGTGGCTCGAAGGGAAAATGCCTGGTGATGCAGAGGAATGTATGGATTTAAATAAGGTCGAGCAAGGAAAAGTAGAAGAAGAGGCGGGATCTTTTAGTCAAATGATGGCAGTAAAGAAAAGAAGAGCAGGTCTTGTTTTGAGATAAGGAAATGACTGAAGCAGTAGCAAAGGGTATGTGGATAACAGGGCAGGAGTACAAGATGGAGAGACAAGTCCACAGCAAAAAGAGAAGAGAGAAAGAAAAAGGTCGGTGACCAGTATAAAGCGTGTGCGTGTTGAGAAAGGGGGTTCTGTTGCAATGTGCTAAGTGGTGCGACAGTGTGACCGAGCGAGTGATTAGGAGCCGAGTGAGGATGGCAGTATGTGTGTATGGGTAAGTGCGTGTGTGCGGGTGCAGAGTGAGCGCGTGCGATGGTGCAATGGGGGAAGTGGGGTTAAAGAGCCAAAGAGCGAGGGAAAGGAGAGAAAACAGAGGAAGGGCAGTTGGCGAAAATGGGGGTTGGGGGGGGAGGGGGGTTTATGTAGGATGATCCTCTTTATGTCAGCCGTAGTGTGTGTGTCTGCAGGTCCACGCTCTTTGAGGTGCTCTCACCAGGCACACCTTTTTCTTTCAGCTGAAGTGAGTGGGAGTGAGTGGAAGTGAGTGATTATGGATGTGTTTGTGTGTGCTCGCGAATAAAACGAGTGCGCAAGGGGGGAAATGGTCTGCCTGCCTGAGTGAAAGACATGCATGTCGCTGGCTTGTGCGACCATACCGATTGCATGCAGGCATCAGACGGACGGACACACGCATCCAAACAAACAAATACTGCCTACACACAAGTAAAACAGACTAGCAGCCGCGCGGTCTGCTTATGAGACGCTCTTTTTCTTTTTTCTTTTTTCACTGCCAATCCCACTTTCCCAGCCTCTCATGCTCTTTTTTTTTTTTTTTTTTTTTTTGTTACTATGCATGCGTGTATCTCCAGCTTGGGTGTGTACATGTCCAATGTCCATTCATGTATCGCGCCCAATGCTTGCTCAGAAGAAGAAAAAAAAGGGTACAGTTGAGTGTTGTGTTCTCAGCTTACCTTTCTTTTTCACTCTGGCGGGCCTTTTTTTTCCTTCTCTCACAAATGCTTGTGTAGGACAAAGGCTTGATGAGGGGACTGATCAGAGAGAAAACGAGCACGAATGAACCATCGTTGGTTAGACAAGATTAAGAAAACAATGCCCTCGTTAGACTCTATGCTGCTCTCTTCTCTTTTTCTTTTTTCCTTCTGTATTTTTTTGCCCTGTTTCCACACTAGTGGAGTCTGAATTTTTTTACGGCGGGGAAAGCAACAAAAAACCACGGCTTACTAGACTACGAGCGATGGATGAGATAGACCGTCTGATATTGCGAAGCAAATACCAAATGCGATTATCAGTTCCAAAGAAAGGATGTGGTGATGGAGGAGTAAATGTAGCTCATGTCCGTTGTTTAACAGGCCAACCAAATAAAAAAGGACATGGCTCCCACAAAGGACGTATCTTTAAGAAAATGAGCCATCGCTAAATGCGCTGGCTAGTTACCAAAGTCTTTGTGCTCAACTAGCCATCTTACAATTCAAGATCAACAGATTCCAGTGTAAACGGGACTTTGTCGGGTTTCTGCGTCTGCAGCACGCGCATAGAGCATGCAAAAGCCCGTGAAAAAGAACTGTTCAAGGACGTGGTTGTCAAAAAAAAAAAAAAACTCCCATCTAATGGGTGTTTTGGTAGAAACCAGATTCCCGTTCTGTTCTGTAAACCGAAAAGGAAAACTGATAAGGTTTTTTTTTTTCTTTTTTTTTCACAACGTTACCTCGGCTGCAAATCTGGTAAACGGGTGGACCGGAAAGTAAAGCAGGACCAGGCGCAGAATTGTAGATGTAGGGAAATGCGGATGTGAACGAAAATGGGGGCGATATAGAAGAAAAAAGGATAGAAAACGAGGACGTGTTTGTTTGTTACTTTGTTGTGCGAGAGAACTACAGATGGACACTTTTTGTAGTACAGGCTCGAATTGACGGAAAAGGTTGGAGGAGGAGAGGGAGCGCGAGAGAATTGATGGACACAATCCTGGACACCATTACCGTATTTATATTAGGGACAACGGTCGGCCAATTACTATGTACATCTGCTGCTGCTGCTGCTGTAAATGAACGAAAGGACGTTGCATATGAATGCTAGGAGAAGGATTTGATAGCCGCCCTTGCCCTTATCCTGTTGATGAGCAGCTGCATGAACTGAATAATGAACCCGAGGAAATGAAATGAGATAGGATGCACGCATTAGCGGTGTTGAACGACCAAAAGGGCCGCAGCTGGCACCTGCCCACCTGCTTCTTTGCTTTGCTTTATCTCATTCTCCTTTTGATTGCTAATGCCCTATTGTCAGTCGTCAACTTCATCATCACCATCTTCAGGGACAAGGCCCACGGCACGCAGCAACAAACAGGGCTAACAAGGCAAACTACACCAAAGCAAAAAACGATCGACCGAGACTAAGACCAAGTGAGTAAAATGAATGGCCGATTGACTAGATCAGAGTAAACATTTTCATGCGAGTAACTCTTGCTCTGTGCTTCTAATTGAGCATTGATATGAATGAAGAGCTGACCTGTCTGGCTGACATGACCATGGTCCATGAACAATCAATGTGCATGTATATATAACAAAAATAAACATACTTTTGTGTGCATTAGTAGAAACATGCAATTGAAGGTCTCGGGGGGTACTGCAGCCAGCACACCATCCATCTCGAGGGAGAGTGGTAGAAAGACTGGCCCATGGGAGAAAAACTGGTTTGCGATTTCTAACTGCACACTGTGGATGCACCATACCCGTCTTCGAGCCATACCTCCCAAGGTCCACGATCCAGTTCACACTCATTTTAGAGGTCTACGATCCATTTGTGAGTGAGCAATGGTAAATGAGCGATACCTTTTTTACGGGTGTGTCTGTCCGTTTGTACGTGTCTCTAACCTGCTCTTGCTCTTTCTTTCGTTCGCTCATCTCTCTCTCCCTCACCCAGACCCGATATATGCATGCATGCATGCATGCATATCCCTCGTTTTTTTCTTGTTTCTCTGAGTGAATAAAATAGCCCTCAATAGATATGATTTGAGGCATGAGAAAAGCAACTTTGTTTTTCTCCGTTCCCAGCTTATCATGTACCCATGCAAGCCAGGTCGTGTCTCCTGTGCCAGCCTCTCACTGTGTTGTCTCCTGTATTGTTAAGTACAGATCCCTAGGCCTACTTCTCCTATCTGGTGAACGCGTTTATTTATGTCCTGTGCATGTCTCATTCCAACGCTGTCTCTTTGACAGCTAGCCTAGTTCCCACATAGGATCTCTCGGCTACTGTTTCATTTCTCTACTACCTTAGAGGACTAGAACGACAGTTCCTTAGTTTTTGCTTATTACTGTGGTGTCTTCTATCCATTATTAATCGACTGTGCACACGACTGTTGCGATAATAATTCCTTGCGATTTAGGGCGAATATCGCAGACATTTTACAACGCTTCAATGTTGTATCGCCTTTTTTTCTCCCTCTCTTTCTCTTTCTCCGCCTCAAGTATCGATTTATGCGTCGTGCATACACACAACGGGCAACGGACAGGTAGCCACGTTGTACCCCGCACACCCGTTAGGTTGCATTTGTGTGGTGGACACAACGGCCTAGACGCGGGATATTTTGTTCGTGGTTACACGAAATATCGACTAAGGGCAGAAGATCCCATCGAGCTCGAAAAACTAGGTTCGGCAAAACGATGGTCGTTTTAGTTCCCACATGTAGATCTATGTAGAGACGCCACGCCCCACGATCATCCGTTTAGAACGTAGATAGTTCGCAAGCTCTGATCCTAATTTTCTTTGCAACGCGTCGCAATACGAAAGTAAATCTCGGCGCTCTCCGGTCAAGATGCACTAAGAAAGTAAAAATACCACAGAGGTAATGTGAAGAGGGGATCTCGCAAACGATCTGAAAAAAAAAATGGAAATAGATACACGATAAGGTCGGGGTCCAAGATCCTGTCGGCAATGGCCCAGGGTACTTGCATTTTTGACTTCAATTACCTGTGGATATTTCTGATCCCTTGTACGGGAAATGAAAACTGGACAATTGCGAAGTACGATTACGAGTAAGCTGTCTGACTTTCCGGATTTCCGGGCGTGAACTTGTGAATCGAGTTCAGCATTCAGGAGAAAAAAAAACGCACGTACAAAAAACCTGACATATCCATTTCAACAGTGCGTTCCCAAATGATCGTACCGAATGCACAGCAGTGTACCAACGTAGATGCAAAAGACCCTCCCTTCCTTTTAGGCTTGCCTAATCTGAGGAACATGTATATAAATAGGCTGTGGACAAGGGCTGATCACGGCAGCAATGTCATTTTGAACGTGGGTTTGGGAGAAGAGGGTTAGGGGTAGTACTTGATACTCCGTTGCCTCAGGTCTTTGTTCCATGGGCTTTGGTTTTTCCTTTCTATTTTCGTGAGTCTGAAGTGGCAACAAATTTCCAGAGGGCGCATGCTCCATGAAATCAATCCAGCCGCATGCGCTTGGGCTTTGTTCCAACAGGAAAGAAAAAAAGGGGGACAGGAGACGCCCTTTTTCCCTTTTTTCTTTTTTTTACCATAGCCGTTCGCAGATGGAAGTTTCTATAGCAAGTACAAGGCAGAATGATGGAGAAGTGTAACGGAACAGGGAGGAAGCGACTGAGAGATGACGCGAGTTGTCCCGCGTGTCCCTTGAGCATCAAAGAGGCCAAGACGAGCTTTCCATTTACGTCGCCCTTAGCACCACACTTTTGTTTTTACGTCCACTTTTGCACGAACTAGTTTTTTTTGTAGGTCAGGTCTCGCACGGTAAGATGTACGCCTCCATCGAAGCCTTCTTTTGTACACCCTTCTCGGTCTGTCTTAGGGCGCCTCAAAGCCGACTAGTGTTGCCCCATTTTGAGGGTGAAAGAGAATGCTGCAGGGGTGCAATGCTTCTTTGTTTGTCGCTCATGGCAAACGCACGCGGCCCGCTTAGAAATTCATGCAAAAAAAATAAGGACCAGAACGACGATTGTGTCCGCATGTCATTTTGTTTATTTGTATGATATCAATGGCATTATGATCAATAGACTCCGAATCCAACTAAGTCGAGTTATTTCTCTGTCTTTTGCGCCCTCCAAACAAAGGCACAAAACGAAAGAACGGAAGGATCCGAGGGTGCGATGGCTAACGATTGATACACGATAACACACTCTCTGCTTTTCAGCGAGAGCTACTAGCACAGAACCATATACATGTGCCCCTCTCGCACATTTACACATCCAGCAGCTCGAATGGCGTGTTTGGACTTTGGATGGGGCGCCGTTTAGGATCCAACCTTGTTTTTTTTTCTCCCTCACTCTCTTTTGCTTGCTTGCTTTCGCTCCCTGTAGATAATTCCCTCACCCGAATTATCGTGCGCACTATCGCCATCATTCATTTAGACTAATGGTCTGCGCAATAGAAAGATAGACGCGATCGAACAAAGTGCAGACTGCAGGAGAATGATAAATATTCATGCGCGTTGCATGTTCACACAACCGTCAGTACTCTGATCAACATTCGTTTCGCTTAGACACATGAGAGTGCAGCGACAGGGATATTCATCTCGCTTATGGTAGTCTATACGTACAGAAACAATAAGGTATAGAAGGTATAGTTCGTCCTTCTTGCGCGTACCCTACGGTTTCAGCAGAAAACGTGTCGATGATGCTGGTTTGCCCTTTTTACCTCCGTGCGCATTTTTTCTTTGATGGGAACAGAGTCATGCGAACATCCCTACGACGCTATGCCGTGAAAAGTAAAAAACGATCGCCTGACATAGGTAAGCAATGTCCGTTAAGTCCTACACGTGGCCACTATTTTGTCGCACAGGCGAGATAAGAAGAATCCCAATCCTTTCTCTTTAAAAGCAAAAGGGCCCTGGAGGGCTCTTTTACCAGGCGAGAAAGATATGAAATAGCTCTTGTTGCAATAAACACGCGCGCTATCATAGTGCACTTATAGAAAGAACGCCTCATATTCAACACATATTAGAAATCATTGCAACCTGGGTTATCAGTTATATTTGACAACCCATGCAGAAACTCGTGTAGATAAGGGCAACCTGAGCGTAAACAACAGACACCCCCGCGAAGTAGGCGCCGTCTGAAGGTATGATTTAGGCCATAGATCCGATTTTCAGGGTAAGCGAGCTACATGGATTTCCGCATGGGTTGTCAACTAAGAGCGACAACCCATGTTGTCAAGTAGAATTATTCCTAGTTCTTTTGACAAACTATTTATTCGCCAACCGGTCGGGAATGTTTATTTGCCGACCCGTACCTGCCATGTGTAGACGTGTGGTTATTCTGCTATTTGCCGTTGCCCGATCGATTTGTCATACCCCTTCTTATCTGTTCCTTGCCCCGTTAACTAGCCATATAGATCCCTGTCTGCTTGCCATCTCATCAGCTTGTCATATTGTTCCTTGCCTGCTTGCCACCCGGTGTCCTCTAAAACCGCTTTTTTTAGGTCTTTTCTTTCTAATTTGATCTTATTGAAGTCTTTATAGGTCGAGATAGTCCTCGGCTTTTTTACCCATGATTTCGCCTTGGATAACTTATCCGCACTTGGTCGCACCTCCCTTGCTGCAATGAATAGATAGGGATCAATATGGCTAGTTGGCGAGGCGACAAATAGCATAGGGGTCGATGAATAACCACGTCTACACATGGCAGGGGTCGGCAAATAAGCATTTTCGACCGGAAGAATATAATCTCACCCCCCCGTAAGATTTTATTCTTACACCCCCCGTGAGATTATCCAAAGCACATAGTGAAATTTTATTCTCACACCCCCCGTAAGAGCTTTAATCTTACACCCTGTTATTCTATAGCGAAACAAAGATAATCTCACGGGCATATAAAAGAGGCTTTATGATCAATACCTGGGTTTCTAAGTGCTTAAGCGCCTGACACCCCGTTATCGTCGCCCAGATGTGTCAAGAGTGCAAACTTCAGTACATCTCTCTCTCTCTCTCTACCAGTGCGCACTTTTGTACACCTCTCTCTATACCAGCCCGCACTTTTTTTCTTCTGCCCTGACCACGCGCCATCGTACCCAATACGTAATTGTTAATAGATTGCTCTTGCTTCTATCACACATCTAGTCCCATCACCTCAATTCGTTTAAGGATCCAGATCTTTTTAGCCATCGCTTCCTTAATATAGACTGTAGTTCAGCTCCGTTCTCTGATACCAGGTGTGTTACACCCTTGACACACTCGGGCGACGCACTAAATTGCTGTTTACCAGTAGGGTGATAACGGAGTGTCATACTAGGTCTACATGTAGATTCACATATCAGTTTCCTTATCGCTGGAGAATCTACCCCTTTGTCCAATCCAATAAGAGGCAGGATTGAGCCAGATTCCAGTCCAAAGCTGAATTACGAGACGCCATGGAAATAGGAAACAGACAGTCGTTTGTGATCATATTGGAGTAGTACTTTACGACTCAAAATCACTATCGTGGATCTTTGCAAAGGTTTAATGCTAGATTTAGTATGCTATGATGTCGACAGTGCTTCGCCCAGCTTCTACAATATCTCAGTGCACTGTTGACACCGATGCAACTAGTATATAAACCCTATCTACGCATAGAATTAGATAGCAGCATTCGCCCAATAAAATACCCTTTTCACCCTAGATCCTTCGACACCTCAGATACTCCAATCGTTTGCAAGCATCCCGACGCGTAGGGAGCTACCTAGCTTTCACTGTCGTGGGAAATGATAAGCAAGGTGCTTTCCCGTCTCTACATCTGCCCAATTTTTACACCGATCTACACTCGCTCCACCGAACCGCCATTTTCATTTTACTTATTTTCAGTTGGAGACATACGACTAGGGGATTTGAATGTACCAAAGTGAGGGGCCTTAGAGTGCGTTCTTTTTCCACTTGTAGAAACCGGACTGGAAGGTCCGGTGCCAGAAGCAGAAGCAGAAGCAGCTTGCATAGCTTGCCCCTGCCCTTGACCTGCTGCAATCTGGGCAATAGAGCTCAGGACCCGTTGCTCCATAGCTGTGATTAGCGTGCACTGTTCCTCTTAAAACGCCATGATTTGCATGCGCTGTACATGTTGCTGTTGAGTATTTGCAATGTCCGAGCCCCGCAAACTCTCGGATAGTTGCACCAACCACTCTTCCTGAATCAAATGTCATTGAAGTAGCCGAAATGACGTTATTGTTGAATATGAGTGCATTGCTGCCGCTAAACGCCTCATCGCCTTTGTGGTTCTCCTCATCAACCTCGTCACCAGATGTACCTGAGGCATTGGCGACCTCCAAATCATCAGGGAGAATTTGAGCGCTGTCAATAAGTTGAAGCCCTGGAACGTTAATCGGGATGTTGGAATGGCGCAGACCCACTTGTAATGCTTGCTCAGGCTATCTCTTGTCAGGAATGGCTTTCTGCGCCTTTCAAATCGGACGAACACATTTAAAAGGACGTTTCTCACTTGAACTGGCGCCGTTGAGTGCAACCGAATCAAGTGGTTTTTTTCTGACTTGGTCAATGGCACAGGTCCGTCCCCGTCCCTGACCGGGAGACCCTGATCAATGCGACGCTCCTGTGGCTGGATCGCCGCTTTCCTGTCCAGCAGTCCCTGGACGCAGTTGTAGAATGTACATTCGTTTCTCTGTGCCTTGATCACTGTAGTTAGCGTAGCGTGTAGTGGAACGCTGGCGAGGAAGGTAATTTGCAACAGTGATGTTGATTATAGAGTGTTAGGGTGTGCACAGAGAAAAAAATTTGCGAGAAAGAGTGCATTTCACCATGCCCTCCACCTTCGTAGAATATATAACTCCATATCTCCATGACCAGATAATCTCGAGCAACGGCCAGGTTGTGTCACTCTCTCTCTTCGTCCAATTGCTTTACGCCCATCTGCAGCTCGTCCTTTTGCTCGTTCTCATGCCTATGTCATACTCCTGCACGCCTATCTGGAGCTCGTCCTTTTTGAGCTCGTCCTCTTTTCTTTTTCGAAATGTGCAAGGCTGTTTGCATGCAATGCTAGACTTTAAGTCAAGATGATT